CATGGAAGCCTAAATGTTGTTGATCGTTGTCGAACTATTATGCACAAGTTCCCATTTCTATTGTGGTTCTTCTAGAGTTCTTCTATGAAATTATTCTCATTTGAGGTTAAGCCACAGTTACAACTACGATAGGCAAGGGATCTTGTAGGCATTCAAACATTTCATTATTTTTGGCCTATGCATGCGGCTTATCAAGCCTATTATATTTTCGGCACTAACTGTGAAGATGGTCGTAATCGGTTAGTCGATTAATCATTTAACCGTTGGTTACTAACCGTTTAACCGTCGGTTATTGATTAGCTAAATTTGACTATCGGTAACATACTACTACTTAACTGTTTAATCGTTTATCGATATAGTTATTTAGTGCCCGTTACCGCTTCGATTATCGGTTACGCTGCTAATAGGATATCCATTTAACAGCCATATCATACTCTAGCATATTTTCCAATTTTACATAAAATTTCGATTTGGGTAACAAATGATTCAGGTGATCTGGGAGAACTTGGAAGTGAAGGCTGTGGTGTTCTCGTGGAAGTCTTGGTCATGGAACGAATTGCGAGATGCCCGGATCCCAGCCGCCTCTTACGGCCACCAAGTTGCTGCAAACGGCCATTTGTACTGGCTCGGCACCGGCAAAGGGAAAAAGGACTTCGTGATCGCATTCGATCTCGCTAGTGATTCGTTTTGGACAATAGACTTGCCCGATCATCTTCCCCACACACCGCCAACATCTGTCGCATCCGACATTGATACGAGAATGGCAGTGTTCAGAAGTTGCCTGACCAGGCATCAGACCTTGTACGATGGAGATGAACTGGATGTGGTGGTGATTGGTGAAAATGGGGAAGACATGAAGGGGACGACGTTGTGGGAGTTTATCTGCCGCCATGGTTGGTTTGATGGGAAGAATGAAGCTGAGCATTATTACAGAGGGCATTGGAATGGGGTTCAAGTTATGAGACGGCGAGGGAGGAACATGGATGATCTCTACTTGTTCAATCCGGAGAGCGGAGCGATTCGTCGGTTTGATGATCTTATGGTTCGTGTGTACGATGTTTGCAGTTTTGTGCACAGTCTTGTTCCGGTTCGTGGAACGAACATCATTGTCGAACCATGATATGACTCTCGATGGTCCTTTTGAAGTCTTATCGACTTGATCGTTTTTAGTTCAATCTTTTGCTTCGAGTTGATGTTATTTCTAACTTTCTTTTACAATATTTGATTTTTCGAGGAGCTAAGTTCTTGTAACATATTGTTGAGGGGTGTGCAGACTGAACCAAACCGAAGTTTGGACCGGATCACACCGCACCGGATTAAGTATAATGCGGTCCGATTTTTTGGTTCAAATGAATTTTACAATTACTGAAGAAATGATGGACCGAATTGATATTTGGACCGAACCAAATGGATCGAACGCAATGATGATCCAGTCCTTGGTCCTAATATCTCTTTCACTAATGGACCGCAGTTCTCATAAGTATGGTCCGGACCAGGCCGAACCGTTACACACCCCTAATATTGTTTATCATTTTTTAGTTCATTTCTTAAAACTTCAATTGAGCTACGAAAAATTCTAGATAGGTATTCTACAACTAAATTCAATTCTTTCTGGTTAAAAAATCTACTTATGGACAAAAAAAAAACTATAAAAAAATGGATATTGATGGACAATCGAAATAGTATGAGTATGGTTTGATTTACGATTCCAATCTTGTACGGATATGAGTATGAATAAAACTTGAACTGCTTAGCCATCCTCAAACCGACCCATTGTCATCCCTAATTTAAACATCCTATGGTTTAAATAAATCATAATACAATTTTTTACAAAACTATCCAATGATCATATGCTCAAAACGCATAGTCCAATGATTTAAACCCACCCATCCAAAAACCCTCACCGGAGTAGTTTGCCACAATGCCAACAACGACGTGACAAAAAAGCCGATCATTTCCTGGCCGGCCGCTAAAATGACAAAACAACCACCAACCAACGCGTAAATTTGTATAATCTCAAATCTCAACTATTTGCAACGAGATGTATCATGTACCAAATGAAACCAAATCGACGATGACCACAATGGCTTCCTCTGCCTCTCCCCTGAAATCCCTCCCCGAAGACATCCTAATCGAAATTCTCACTCGATTACCGGTAAAATCCATCCTCCGATTCAAATCCGTCTCGAAGCACTGGTCAACTCTCCTCACAGCACCTCAATTCACCGCCGCCCACCTCCGCCGCTCTGCCTCCGACAACCCCCTGCTCATCATCCGCCACGGCCAAACCACCGGTGACCTCCTAATCTCCGTGCTCGACTCAAACCTGGCCACCCTCCACCGCGATTTGCCGTTGCCCGTCCCGAGATACGACGATTTCTCCGCCTCGATCGTCGGTTCCTGCAACGGCCTGCTCTGTCTCGAGTACAGAACCACCAGAGCAGCGCTCTGGAACCCTGCCACCAAGCAGTTCGCCTGGATCCCGGACCTGGACCTCCGATCCCCTTTCCGCCACGTGACGAGGTTCGTCGCCATCGCGGAGAGCTACGGGTTCGGGTTCAACGGCGAGATTGAGGATTACAGGTGGGTGAAATTCGCCGGATTTTACTACAGGGACCGGAGCAGAGAAGACGAAGCGATATGGGAAAGTTTGGAAGTGAAGGCGGCGGTGTTCTCGTGGAAGAGCTGGTCGTGGAAGGAACTGAGAGGTGCCCGGATTCCGGCTGCTTCTTACGGCCATGCGGTGGCTGCAAACGGGCATCTGTACTGGATCGGGGGAGGGGAAGGGATGAGGGATTTCGTGCTGGCGTTCGATCTCGTGGCGGATTCGTTTCGGATTGTCGATTTGCCCGAGGCTCGGCCTGATGATGGTGGATTGCTGAGGCTCGACATCGTGGCGAGGATCGCGGCGTTCAGGAGCAGCCTGGAATTGAGGTTGTACGATGATGATGAGTTGGAGGTGTTGGTGATTGGGGAGAATGGGGTGGACATGAGAGGGGAGACGTGGGAGTTTATGCGTCGATACGGCTGGTTTGATGGTTCTACTGATCGAGAAACGGTTGAAAGTTGTTGTGAGGGGTTGTGGAAGGGGCTTCAGATTTTTAGACTGATGCGAGGAGGGAGTAGGGATCATCTGTACTTGTTTGATACGGGAAGCAAAGCGATTCGTCGGTTTGATGATCTCGTGGGTATTGTGTTTGGAGTTGGCAGTTTTGTGCATAGTCTTATTCCGGTTCGAGGTGTGAACAATGGTGTTGAGTTGTGATGGTCATAGGCTTATAGCTACTTTTTTAGCGGGGTTTCAATTTTCATCATTCAGGTTGTTGATCTTGATAATAAGGATTCAGTTTGGTTTAATTTGGTTTGGCTGATTATTTCATGTTTAAGATCATATTTCGTTGGTGTAGGAAAATTTAAAAATATAAAAAAGTTTGTGCGCTCATTTGAAGATCATATTTTTCATTTCCTCCAACTTTGTGACATCTTTTAAAGATGTTATAAATGAAATAAAATTTTGTATGAACACGAAAGTTAGGATTTGTCGCTAGGTTCCTCAATACAACACCACATTTAGCCAACATGGCTAGGTTCACACAATGTCTTCATCAACTTTAGAGCTTGATTTCAGCCTAATTTGGTATATGCGCTCAGACACACCTTGTCGTAGTTAGTCTCTTGACCCCGATCTATAAGCCAAACACACAATATTTTTGAAAAGTACAACGGCCTTTTGAAAAATAAACATTTAAAAATGAAAAAAACAAAGATTTACATATACATATTTCAACTCGAAAGCTCGAGAAGACCGATATCGTAATCAAGAATGAAATTTGTTTGAGGAATATCATGATAAACTTTCTAGACTCCTTTGAATGATTGTGATTTCGCATCTTAATTAGAACGGCTAGGTTGGTTACTATATTTTGGTAGAATAGTTTTCTTGTGCATATGTTGGTAAAAACAGGGAAAGAGTTCGAGCCAGAGTTGAAGCCTGAAGAATGGAACAACTATAAAGGAGTCGATCGAGAAGAAAAGAGGCATGGTTTGAACAATTAGTGAGAAAAGGTTGAGGTTCTAGCGCTCTTATCAACAGAGTTGTATTCTGCTTCGATAAGATTACTCGAGTGGTTGTTCCTTGTTCAATGACCTTAATATATCGAGCTTATCATCTTGAGTGGACTATTTCAAAACGAAGCTCCGACCTAAGTAATCTAATCCTCATTGATGAATAAGCGTAACACTATTCATGGACTGACATAACAAAAGATAAATTTTTTTTGAAGAATATCAAGATTCAGATTTGTCGAGTTTTCCCCACTCTCCCCGTTCCCAATCATCTCATTTGCAATTCACGTATATTTCCAAAGTGCAATTCATCAACCTGAGTCGATAATTGAATGTGTCGCGATCGTTCTACGAGCTCTGTCATTTGATCATGTCGTTAGTGGTTGATGACTCTTGTGATGAAGCCATTAACGTAGTTTCAAGAAAGTCCTTTTTTCCCCCTTTCCTATAAGCTCCCAAGAAAAGTTCGGTTTTGTGCTTTAGTGCAATCCCCCAAGGTGTCGCTCACTCCTCCGTCGTGGAGCATGGCGACAAAGACGGCTGTCCACAAGCAAAAATTACGCCATAGGTTTCAACTAAAATATATATACGCCGAATCGGAAACCGACAAAGAACGGATGCAAATGTCCAGCACGAAATTAACTGGTCCGAGATTGGTCTACCGTCTACCGCATTGGAACACGTTAATGCCCCAAAAATTGGCGATTCCAAATGCCCAACAAGACGACAAAAGCCTCCGGCCCAACGACGCCTACACTGGCTACCGGCCCGCCAACAGCCACTCCCCGGCCACGGCCGGTCAGATTCCATCTCTCCCGCGCCAAAACAAATGCTGGGAAACAAACTCACCAACGTGTATTAATTCATTCCTCCCTTCCCCTCCTTAACCATTCATCGCCACCAACGATCGAAACTTACCATTGACGACGACGACGATGATGATGGCCAACAAGAAGCAGAAGACGGCAACGGCGGCGGCGGAATTGCCGCTTCCGGAGGACATCATGGTCGACATCGTGGCGCGGATGCCGGTGAAGTCGATCCTACGGTTCAAATCCGCGTCGAAGGAGTTGGGGGCGATGGTCACGGCGCCGCATTTCATCACCACCCACCTCCGTTACGCTACGTTTAACAATAAATCCGCCGTCACGGCTCCCAGCAGCTACAAGAGAGTAACCGGCGGGACGTTGCCAGCCTCCGTCACCACCCACCACTGTGCTGCTCGGAATTCCGTTTCGACGGAGTATGATGGCGGCGTCGTCTATCGATCGTTCCAGGGATGATGATACTGATGAATGATGATGTGATTGCACAATTTTTTGGATGCCATTTTTTTTATTGTTATCGAAATTAGTCCTATACATTGATCAAATTGATTGATTTTTAATCGGTAATAACAGTAACGGCACTATGCTGCCGTTATTGTCTTCCCTTTTTCAGCCTCTGTTATCATATTCATTCTTGGTTGGAAATCTTTTTTTTGCTTCATGAAAAAAATTGATGGCGACTTCCAAGCATTTTATCGAAGGTGAGAATATCATCGACGAATAATTCTCAATGGAAAATGCACATGATCTCCATATGTTCCTTATGATCATCATCACACGCATAATATTTTACAATCCCGCATTGGTATTAGTGGAGTAAATATGTTTGGTCGTGGACAAGAAACTCTCATTTGGACCAGAGTTATTAAAATCTGATTTTGCTTCTTATACTTCAAAAATACGGAAAGAGTTATTAAAATTGACAAATTATATTGATAAATCTTGAATAATCAAGCAACTCGGTAGAAATATTATACTGAGAAATGATGAATCTAGACCTACAGGGTGTAAATTAGACACCAATATCATACTTTTGCTGATAAAATCAGTTCGATTTGGTTATGGGTATGCAATGATTTGATCCGGATGGAATCGTTGCACACCCCTAAATTGGATGATGATGATGATGAAATGATTGTATTGCTATTGTATGATTAGCTTTGTCCTCTATTGTGGATTTGATGCGGATTCTATCCTTCTATGTCTGAGGCCCATCATACAAATACATAAGCGAGGCCCAAAAAGGATGCAGAGCCCAAAGTGAAGCATTCTTCTCTGCGGGCCTGCAACGAATATGCACAAGGCCCGTTGAAGGTTTAGAATTTTTGTTTTAAGAAATCATAAAAATCTTAACAGCCTCCCATACTTTTCGTCTTGCGACCTTTCTTGATCTCTGTCTCCTCTTCTCCTCTTCGTTCGGACGCGCGAAATTCCGCTAAAAAATTCATTTTCCCGGTCGTATCACCTCCGCCGGCGGCCAATACAATGAGACCAACGACGAATTCATCCGCCGCATCTTCCTCCGGCACCACGACCACCACAACCATAGTCCTGGGAGACCGAGCCCAGCAGCAACAGCAACAGCAACCGCCATCGCAAACCCTAGTTTTGCGCCTCAATCGGCCGAAGAAGAAAGTTTCATGGAAGGACGGCACCGTTGACAACGAATTCATGCAGAAGAAGAGCTCCAAGAAGTGCTGCATCTTCCACAAGGAGAAGCCCTTCGACGAGGACGACAGCGATGACGACGACGAACATCACCATGGGAATCATGACGACCATCACGATCATCCCTCCTCCGATGGCTGCTGTTCTTCCAGCAACGGCCAGTGTGAATGAAGAATTTGGGCTACCGCATTGCTGGGGTGGGTGTAGGAAAAAGATAAATTCGATTACTTTCGACTTGATTTTGGTTCATAATTGATATACTACTGGATCGGGGGATCAAGGATTAACGTGTTCCTTGTCCTTATATGATATGGCGTGTTTTGAATCTCATGTTTATAGTCTGATGAATCTCCAATGAATTTGATATCGAAAAGTTCATAGCTTTTTGCACATGATACTGATATAGTGATATTTGTATTGAGGCGATTGATTTCATCTCATTTTATAGCCATAATGAATTCATTGTAATGGAGAACTGCAGAGGGTTTTGAGATCGAGTTTTAGGCATTCGTATATGTGCATTCCAAATTCGTTGTTAGATTAACATTGCTGTTCTTTCGCCATGATTCCTGGGTTTGTTATTACCTCTGGTTGTGAGCTTCCCATGAGTCCGTCTGCCCATTAGTAGTTTCTCTACTAGGCACAGAATCTAGATGCTCAGGAACTTAGGTATGCTTGCAAATTGGAACGTTAATTATGGCTCGGCCATGGTTCTTTCTGATTGGAAAAGGTCCTGGCAGTATCCTTTTAATAGCTGGTTGGGGTTTTGTTTACGCACCAGAAACTTTAGATTGATCTGTCGAATCTGGCACTTGCAGTTGCATCTGGTTTTTGTTTCAGAACTCAGTTGGTTTCAGTATTTGGTAGCCAGATTGAATGATGAATGTTTGGATGTTCTTGCATTATGGACCTTTGGATGTTCTTACAGGTGCTAGATTGTAATTGCTGATATCGCAGTAGAATAGTATTAGGCTGCTTATTTGAAGAAATTGGTTGTTGGAATGGATGCTTAGTCTTTTCTAGATACGTTGTCCTTGTTCTTATCTGCCCTTAAGTCCACAACAGAAGGTCAATGTGTCCCGTCTGTGCTTGTGCCCTGATCTCTAATTCGTTCAGGCTGTCCTCTCTTACAGTACAATATCTTGTATCTACCATCTGAAAGTATATTGTCCTTGCAGGATATCTAAGACAACTGCGGGTTCTTGTCAGCTTCAAGTTCAGTAATCTACTTAACCAATTCTGCACTGATGCTGTCATAAGAGTTCAACCATGATTTTTTTAAGTGACTACATGATTCAGGTTAGGGACATCATAGACTTGCCTGGACTTATTTCTTCTAGAGGTCTGCAATTTTTTATCAAGATTCCCCAGAGGCAGGATCTTGGCATCACCCTAGCTCTTGGTTTCTGGTGAGGGGTTTTAGTTGGCGTTTGTAACTGGGGAATTACTACTAGAATAGTTGATCTCACTTGTCGATTCTGCGGGTGGTGAAGGTAAATCGAGATGTGCTGTTAGTGAAATGAGTAATTATGTTGAGAGCTTGGTTTCTGTTTATGGAAAGGCCTTATCAGTTCGTTGTCTTGGCGGAATGCGTTTGTTTTGGGCGAATGCAATGCTGCTAAAGAATTTATTTTCAGTCACTTGGGATGGGGATGGTACACTTCTGCACCACTTTCCAGACAAATAAGCTATGTTTCAATAGAAAAGTTGTTGTATAAGAGAGAGACACAGACTCATATAACATTGTAGTTGATCAGCGATCATGTTATATAACCTCTTGATCTGCAGAATCTTTTCCCATGTTCAACATTCCTTCAACAAGAGAATGGGTATATTGAACTACTTGAAAGCCTTTTTAAGTCTGTGTTGCTTATTCACTTGAATAATGTACAGACCTTTTCCCCCTTTTCCCTCTCACTCAAAACTTCAAACGGAAGGGGAACTCGAATCAAATTGAAGTGATCCATGTGCTGGGTGTATGTGAACTGGTTGGGTTAGATAAAAAAAATTTTAGCAATGCGAACTATCACTCATGATTCGAATATTGAACTCATTCTCAAAAGGGTAAATACAATTTAATATTCAAACCTTTCATTTTAAACAATATAATAGCCAAACCTTTTCGAAAACAATCTAATATCCAAATCATCAACTTTTCGTTCGTTTGACCGTTAGTTGACACTTCAAAAAAGTTCGAAGTACGACGCTTCATCAAAATCCATCGATATCTTCTCTGAAAAATCACCAACATATCGTGGTTCCAAACCCGAGAAGTCCATGACTCCACCATGATGGTATAAAATATCTAAATATTCAGTCATCTGCAATGCCAAAACAAGAAAACAAAGTTGTATTGTGACCATTTCCCCTAAACATAGCTTTTTTGAAGTGTCAACCAATGGTCAAACGGACGGAAAGTTGACGATTTGGATATTATATTGTTTTCGAAAAGGTTTAGCTATTATATTGTTTAAAATAAAAAGTTTGGATATTAAATTGTATTTACCCTTCTCAAAATATCAAACTTCATCGTTTTTGTTAATATTTGAGTCGGTTTGATTGCAAATGGATTAACATAAGAAAAGATATAGCCTATGTTCGAAGTCACAATAGCACATATGTTCGAAGTCTTTGGGGGTGTTTGAGTGGTTTACGGTCTTGAACAGCAACCGAGTGATTTCGAATGATTCAACCCACCAGCCACATGAGAACCAAATTGCAAGTTTGCGGCACGGTTTGGTCGGACCGGAAACAATTATCTGCGGCTCAGCTGCATCATTGTGCACCCATAATTCACAAGATGCCAACTTACGCGAAAAAAACGCATAGCTGGCTGTTGTGGCATGGGCGCTCATGCAAAGATTGCGGGAAGGGGCACATCATCATAAAAGCTCAAGAGATTAGAATTATTTTGTGTGCTAAAAGCATCCGATAGTTAGAATACGTCTTTGCTCAAGAGATTAGAATACTCTCTCAACACTGCTGGAGGTTGAACACCCATTACTCATTGGGACCCTAGGAAAAACAGGATAGGGATAGATAGTTTGAAGGATGGGATGGCCTAGGACACGAGGCCATGGACCACACTTCAAATCATTTGGGGGTGAAGTGAAAAGATGAAAGGAATTCGTGGACCTGGTTGCACATAGAATTCTATGCCCATAAGTATGTTGATGCCTAGTCACAACCCCACAAGTAGGGGTGAACAAACACACCCGTAAACCGACCACCCGTTCAACCCGACTCAATCCTCTCGTATTTATAGCTAAAACGAAGGTTTTTGGTTGGTTGAAAGTTTTCTTTTGTACAACCCGCCTCTTTTGGGTTGAGTTTGGATTACACAATCCGTGGAACCCGATCCAACCCGTGTTCCAACTATTGGTAGGAGTTCGTATCCAAAAAATAATTTATGTCGTATATAGCTATACTTATGAGAAAATTAAGATATTTCGTCATGTTTTCTCTCATGGTCTCCTTAATCTAATGCATTATTCGGCTTAAAGTTTAGGCATAAATTTAATATAGCTATGATTCACATAATCCTTTTTCTTGTATACAATTTTAATAGAATAACATGTTGTGGGTGAATTCGTTTATAACCTTTTTAGCCTATTTCAACAAATATCGTGAAAAAAACTAGACATATATTGAAGTAAATCACATTTTATTAAAATTCAAACAACATTTGTGAATTTTGATACCTTTCACTTCAGTTTATTCGTTTGAAATTTTAATTAGTTATAAAATATTTTTATAGTGTAGAATAATATCATATTTTGTGTTGGGTTGTTTTTATTTAAAAATATTGCCAAATCGACCCAACCCAACTATAAACAAACCGTAGGGTTTAAATTTTTTGGGTGGGTTAAACCAATGTCCATGTCTCGTTGCAAGTCTCATTTTGAGTCTCGTCAGAGATCCTACATTCCACTACAAAATATCTACTAAGAATAAAGAGTCGACTTCCTACTAGTGCATGAGTCGGGTAATTAAAATAGCTAAACCTGGACCACCCAACCCATTTACATCACACAGCAACCATCGTGATAATAGCTTGTTTATGTAATTATGTCCACAAGATATGAAACGAACTTCAACATGCCATTGCTTGCCAGCCAGCCAGCCAGCTAACAAAGTAGAAGCCGCCGGGGTGGAGGTGGGCCTACTCCGAAACTCCTGGCTCGTGATGAACTGGACCAGGGTCCAGCCAGCAAGTTGGGCTCGACAAATCAATGGCCAAATCTTGTGGGTCAGATTTTCTTACTGGTGTTTTTTTTTTTTAAGTGTTAACTCAACCCACGTTCACCCATCCCATCTTCCTTCCCTCCACCGACACCGCAATTAATTTCACAATAGTCCTTATTTGTTTCTGAGATGATCAATTGATCATTAATTGGAAAATTCGGCACAACACAACTGGCGGACAGGTGACCAAGCGATTACGACATCAAAGTCATCAAACGCCCCCACCACCGTTTGTCTGAGGCATGGAAAAATCATACTCATTATCTGAATTTTGAAAAGCCCGTAACGTTACGTTTGTTACTTGACGTCTGACGAGGTAAGTTTGACTTGTTAGGATTGTAAGCTGGTTTTATATTTATAGTCAGTTCGTTAAACTTACTCGTTTTTTCAGAGGTTCGATGCTTATTGTTTGCTATTTGTTTAACATTAAAATTCAAATATATTTAGTTATCATCTTCCCAGCACAAGAAAATGGGTCAAACCAAAGTTACCTCAAGTTGAATTTGTGCTCAGCTAACAAATACTGGCCGTGAGCATTTATAGAGTTAAGGCGAGTCGAGTTCGACTAAAAACTATGTTAATTCGAGTCGAGCTGAACATGCCTTTTTCCTATCTCGATTCAAGCTTAACCCGAATTTAAATCGAACAACAAAATAAACGAGCCGAGTTCAAATCATATTAAATTGGTACGACTATGCTCATGAGTTACAACGTCTTCATTAGTCTCCAATATTAATTAGGTTATGTGGGGAACAATATTATAACCCTGAAACAAAAACGTCTGAACACAATTATACCTATGGCATCATATTATGCCCTACTATGGTTCAACATTGACTCAAAGTTAAGTCAAACAACTAATAAACGAGCCGAGTTTCAATCATATAAAACTTGGTTCGACTCTACTCGTCAAGTACAACGTTCATTAGTCTCCATAGAATCGTTATTATCAATTACGTTATGTGGAAGAAGGAAAAAAAATTACAACCCTGAAAACATCAATGTTTGCATTACAATTATACCCCTATAGCAGCAACATAATCCCCTCTTGTACCCTTTCTGGAAAAAAAAAACTATACCCACCACATATATAATTATACGCCTTTTATATATGATTTTGTGATTAACGGCGAAAATTAAAGACATTTTTTTATGACAACGAATTATGAAACAGCTAGCCCTGTACTTATAATCTCAGTTATTATTATTATATAAAAATAAACTATGTATTCAGACCGGCTAGAAAGGCCACCCCGGTCGACGGCAGCCACGACGACCCGAATATAAACTCACTCACGGTGAACCGGTTCGCCTCCACCTTGTTCGTAATCACCCGGTACCCGGGCCACTTGACCCGCTGCCCGACCGCCCCGCTCGGCCCGTAATTCATGTACTCCCCGTAGTACAGCGTGTCCAATGCAAACGTGGCGTTCCACTCCAGCCACCCACGCGGGTGCACGTGGTCCCCGATGTACGTCATCATGACGACGGTCCGCGAGTAGAGCTTCCAGGGCCGGCCCAGGTAGGTCTGGAACTGGGCCTTGGAGGCCTGCAGGTCCGGGGTGGCCAGGAACCGGGAGGCGTGGATCGATATCCCCGTGTTCTGGTTCGGGTCCTTCCGGTTCTGGGCCGTCACCGTGTTCTTCTGCAGGTCCATGGGCTTCCGCGCGTAGAAGCTGCAGTTCTGGAGCACCACGGCGGCGTTGCCGAACACGAAGTCGACGGTCCCGTAGACGTCGCACTCGCGGAAGAACTGCCGGTTGGAGTGGACGTAGAGGGTGTCCTGGTACCCGATCACGTTGCAGCGGTAGACGACGGCGTGGTCGGCGCCGACGCGGAGCGCCACCGCCTGGTGCTTCGCCGGCCCCGCCGTGTTCTCGAAGGTCAGGTCCCGGGCGATGAACCCTGCTCCGGTGGCCGCTGTTGCAACAAAAGTAGTTTTGGATCAATTAGTTCAATAATTAGTAGCATGGTAAGTAGTAATGATAATTATAATAACAATAATAATATACTATAGTTACTGATTTTCCCCCACTGTGATAATGACAATTCACTTGCTGATGATACTTATCTAAGAAAATTGTATTCATGAGGATGTAACACTTGTTCATTGCAGAATGTTGGATTCAATTATACAAGTACATTAACCTAGTCGATTGATCGAGAAAGCCATCAGACTAACATTGACTTTGAGTTGGAGCACACAATCTTAATTAACTTTCATATTATATGTCGTAGTAGAGCAAACAGTATCGCCACATGCATCTAACGATTGAGATTTTACGAAACAATCCGCTCATCGTAACCACCTACACCACCACCATAGAAACAAAAGTCCTAATAATAATTATTGAGTTCATATATATATAATGAAACCGTCATGTGATATTGTCCGCTTTGACATGACCCGTAACTGTCCAGAAGCCCTTTTCCAAGAACATTTTTGTAAGTATGTGCTCTTTCCTTTTCCACGCAATTCCTGCTACTGGTCCCTATAGTTTCACTAACAAAACCAGTGGCTACCATTCCACATCACATTCACATATGTTTCTTTTTAAGCTCTCCTTTTGTCCATGGTAGGTACAGTTTCCTTTCAATTTTGTGGCTTTCCTTATCCTGGTTGCACCAAGTTAAAAAAAAGACTCTACTTTTCTTCTACCCATTTTGAGAACTTCTGCTGGTATTGGACTACTGGTCACCTCTGTTTCCTTTACCTTTTGCGGGAAGGCAATGGTGCCTGTTAAAGACTGAGCCCCAGTTCAGTGGATGACTAGTAAGATATATGGAAACTGGGAATCAAACACACAGTTTGCTTTCCAGTTTTCTACTTCCATCCAGAAAGGAATATTCTGACCACTGACTTTTTTTTCTCTGTAACCTACCCTTTGCTTCTTCCTTAAGCAACTCCTCCTCCTCCTCCCTTCCACTTTTCCCAGTTGAGTTACTTTTTGCACACTCCAAACGGTTTACTTTCTTAATGGCGATTAAAGGGAAAGATTCACATCTGTGTTTTTTTTGCTAAATAGACCAGACATTTAATGCCACCGCAACAAGGAGCCGAATTGGTAGTAAATGGTCTACAGGCAAAAGGACCAACTAGTTGGGTGGGGAATTTGATTGAGTGGCCTTAACAAAAGGATAGGTAGCCACGTGCATGCAATCTCATCCCCAATCCACAACCAGAACCCTCCTAATGTTTAACTTTCTCACTAGTTACTGGTTTACCGTCGAAACACGTGTTTACGTCGTTGGATTATGAGTGTATATGATCTAACAACCTAAATACATTACTGCAGATTACGGGTTAGTGTTAGGATAATAGAGTCAGGTTTACGGTTCCTGCCGACACCAAGTAGGATGAAACGACAGGAGAATAAAAGGGAAAACGCACGATTTGACTTTAACCGGGGCGGGAATAAAGGAAGGAGAAAGGAGAATAATAAATTTAAAAAACTTACCGAAGGAAGCGGTGTGGAAAGTGGTCAAGTTGTCAAAGACGCTCCTTTTCCCGGTGATGACGGTTTTGCCCTTGCCGTCGCCGATGAACATCAGGTTCCACTTCTTCCTCCCCACTTTCAAGTTGTTCTCCTCATACCTGCCCTTCCCCCAAATTAATTAAAGATTATTATTATTATGACAAATATTCCCCACCGCGAAAAAGAAATAGAAGAGAATAATTCCCAAAAGTGACTTAAAATTAATAAAAGTAATGTCACTGTTCCTTTTCCTTTTTCAGGAAATCTCCCATTCACTCTGGAAAAAAAGGAGAGGAATAATGATATAGGGAATAAAAATTGGAAAGGCTCTCTGCCATTCATCATTTCTGCCTTTCTACAAACGCTGAAGAAAGTAGCAGCAGGTATTAATTAAAGTGAACCGATTATGCCAATTAAAAGGTGTCATAATTACTCTTCTACTGATTAAGATCTAGCAGCAAGAATAACACCTGGTACTCAATGACACGTGCCCAAATTACTAACAGAATTCGAGCTTAATAACGTAAAAACATCATCCATTTCGATGATTATCGATAATACTAGATTGAATCGTTCGTTCGTATGAAATTATCAGCTATCGACCTAAAAGAGAAAGGGTTTGCGCGTCCTTTCGGCCGGTGAAAAAAGAATGTAACCGATCTTGTTTTACGGAGCAAGAAGTTAAACAGCTGACACGTGAACCAAAAAAGTGCAAACAAACCTTTTTCCCGGGCCCACCTTTTTTTATAATTTATGATAAATTCTCACCGACGGGACGAGTAAATTACCTTCCTGCCCTGACGTAGATGATGGTCCGCCGGCTGCTCTTCTCCGGCGCCTTCTTGATCGCCTCCCCGATCGTCTTGTAGCTCCCGTTGGCGCCGTCTGCCGACACCACGATATCGGCCTGAATCGCCGAAACCGGGAGCCCCAGCAGCCTCCTCTCCCTCCTCCCGATCCAGCCGGGGAACTCCTCTTCAGATTCCACATTCGATTCCTCCGCCATCAGCCTCCGCCGCCGGTTCTGAATCGGGACTCCGGCGAAGTCGCCGTCGTCGGTGGCGGAGAAGATCGCGAGGCAATTGCTGACGAGCTCCGTCAGATCCTTCAATTTCCGCTCCATCTCCTCCTTCACGGGGCCGGACTTCACGTCCGCCAGCCCCTCCGCGCACGTGTCCTGGTTCGTCAGCGCGGCGCTCAGCCACGTGGCGACGTCGGTGGTGGAGGCGGAGACCCCTCCCACTCCGCCGATGCCGCCGGCGCCGCCTTCCGGCGGCGCGACGGCGGAGAGGGAGCGGGAGAGGGCGTCGACGGAGTCGTCGAGGAGCTCGAGGCAGTCGTCGTAGGCGGCGCGGTCGAGGCCGCCGGCGGGGAGGTAGCTGGCCATCATCGCCGTCGACGAGAGGTAGAGCGCCCGGCTGAGGCGCTGGAGCGTCATGTTGAAGGAAATGTGGACGAGGTCCTGGTCGTCGGCGGTGAGCGACCCGGGGAACTCCACCAGCGAGTTGACGCAGAGCTGCGGGTACCGGGTCTTGCCGCAGGCCCGGGAGATGGCCTGGGTCGGGCGCCGGTGCCGGGTCGGGTCGGGCCCGGCGGCGGCCCGGTTGCGGGCGGCGACGAGGAGGGCGGCGGAGACGGCGGAGGCGACGATCAGGGTGAGGGAGAGGAGGGAGAGGATGATGAGCTTGCGCTTGCGGGATGAGGGTGCGGCGGCGGTGGGCGGCGGGTTGTTTTCGCGGAAGGACGATGAGGCGGCGCCGCCGAGCCGGCCGTAGTCGAGTTTAGCTCTCTCCATTGGGAGTGAGAGAGAGTGAGAGAGAGAGAGAGAAAATGGGGATTGGGATTCGGGTCGGTGCGTGGGAGTGAGAGCCAAAGGGAGAGTAGAAGTAGTAGTGAGTGGTGGAAATGCTTAGGATGGTGATTACGTTGGGTTCATGAGTGTGTGTATTTATACGTCTTTGTATTACTGGTACTGTTTAAGTTTTTAATTATTTGGGTTATTGGGTTAATTACCTTTTTAGGTTGTGATTTGATGCTCTCCCTCCCTCTCCCATGTTTCTTTACCAATAGCCCAGCTGGCTTATCCGGTTACATATCCATAGTTGTCAGCCCGTAGGAATGACGATGAAGAGTCTCGCGAGTATCTCGATACTAATATTTGTTTTGTAGCTAGTCGGGTTCTGGTTGAATGATTTGTTATTGGATGTGAGTCGACAAGTCGACTCATATGAATTTGTTATTTAAAGGGAATGCATGAGAAAATGTTCAATCTTTCATTAAAGAAATCAAGAAACAAACTATAAGATGGTCAATGTTGTTAAATTATTTGAGAAATTGAGATTCTCACATGCTTACAATTTTATTGCGGCTAACATACAAGTTGATTAAAGTAAAAAAAAAAATTAAGTGAAATTATTTGTAATTTAGGCAAAAAAACAGGTATAGAATGTGGCGGATCATGGCATATTAGGTCGAGGAGAGTACCCATTCCCATCCTGCCTCGTATTACCTTTCCAATACAGGTCATGTAAAATGAGTCAGATCGAAATTGTCATCTCTAGTCGACAACCTATACGGACACGGTTGAACCAAGACTGATAAGGAACCTACTTATTCAATTTGAGTTGGATCGACTGTATTGGCCTATCTAAGCATTTTTCGGGCAATTAAAATGGCATAGTGGACTCTGCATGCAGTTTACCTAGATCTATAGGAGGTAATCGTTTTGAAGTGATAATCATAACAACGATATAGTGGTGATACGTTGGAGAGTTGTATATGAGATAGAAAAATTTATCGTAAACCAGAACTTCTTCATTTGAGGTGCATCAAAATGGGTCTTAGCCAAACATATCAAATCATCCTTTTGGCATATGGAGATCCAAGTACCACCCCAAGAATTTCAATTTGAAGTAATTGCATGTGGCATTTAATTGGAAGCACCCACACAACCTACCATTTTTCGAGCTAAGCAATACTTATGTCATGGGGAGAGAGAGATTTGTCAAATGGATGGAGCAAAAGCGAGCAGAGTGAGAAGAGTCAAGAGATTGGTGGTGGTTGTGAAGTCGCCGTCAAAGGGAATTAGCTGTCCTCGACTCGCCTTCGTACGACCGGCCGGCAGCCAGTGGTATATAGTGAAAAGCTCTATTGTTGTGCATGTTCATCCCCCTCCTTTAAGTTCTTTTCATTTCCTTTTACTCTGCTTGTTTTCGACGGATATACTTTCATCGAAACAAAAGTAAATTTCGATTATAATTTAATCGCACCACAAAAAGTAGACTGTTTTTAGAAATAGAGGTCATTCGCCCTTAAAAATTATTTATTTGTCTCCGTATTTCTTTCAAGCAAATTCGTTGTTAAAAAAATTGGACAAAGAAAGCAATTTTTCTTTTAAACATTAATACTCAAGGCTAATGTCATCTTCCACCTTCTTATTTTCCTTCGTTTAAGATAAACCAATTTTATTCTATTTTCTCTGGCGTCATAATGCATGGAGGACAAGTCGTTTTCCATCTTTGTGGATTAGGGTTATATTATTAAGGTCCTATATATAGCCCTTATAACTGTACTTAATTCAACAAAATATAAGGTTTCTGATGACTGTACTTGGGAACTTTGCCTCTTTGTAAAGGAATCTCAACTAAATTAATTATATTAAACGAGATGATTGGGGGTACGTTGATTAGTTGGATTAGCTTATATTATCAACTCATGATTTAATCTAATTTTATATGACGACGATTGATGTAAATGTAGTTAAACACACTTAATTAAACTTTACCGTTAAGATATCATGGCAAAATAATCATTGTCTTATCGGTAGGTTAGAAAAATTGCAACCGGCACAAGGTAAATTCTAGATAGTGGGATTAATGTAAACAGAAGATTCTTCATTGGCATGGATGAACATCTTGACTTGAATATAAGAAGGACTAACACTTACGTCTTAATAACTTACCAAACGACCAAAAGGAAACACAAAAGTACCAAGAGGAGAAGAAAAAGATTGGGGTTTATCTTTGGTAATCGACATGATTCAATCGACATAGTTTTTGGTAAGCAACAAACAAAAAACCAATATTTGGGTATTGCTTAAACTCATTTTAGTTTGGGTCAAATCAGGTTTGAGTAAATTTTTTTTTTTTACATATCTATACTCAATATTTAGGTTTGGGTTTAAACTAGACCCATCGTATTGGATATCCAAGAAAACATGGATAGGTGGAAACTCTAACATTAAGGTGTGATTGGGTTGGAGACAATTAATGAGATGGTTGATATTGTCTTTTTGTGTTTACAATCATCTCCACCAAAATAGACCCATTTGGATGTGTTATAAACCAACTGGTCTCAATCACTCAGAATTGTTGTCTTGTTGGGGAGGCTCATGTATGGCTATTTAACCACTTCCTTATACGCCCCCTCAAATGATAGTGCCACCTCATGAGCGTGAAATTTGCACAAGTCTCCCCATACCAAGTGTTATAACTTATAAGTACCATCCATGTATGGTACTTAACCACTTTCTTACAGAATGATACCCAAGTTGAACTTAATTCAAATCCAGTCCAAAGCGAAAATCATTAAAAATGCATATGAGTCATGATAATTCGATGAAATTACCCTACCAATCGCATCCATTTTCATTCCTAATTCTATCTCATAAGGAAGTGACATAAAATCCATATATAAACATTTTCCAAGCAACAATTCTCATCGATAACTCTAAGCCACGACTTTAAGGTCACAATTTCGATGTGAAACTGTTAATCCACAAGCCCTTTGGTTCATCTTTTTGTTAGCTGTTTTTTTTTTCTTCCTCCCCAGCGGAATGAGATGTGATCGAGGAACCTATGAACGGCACATCTTCGTGCAAGTAGGCCACTCGTGATTGGATAGGTTTGAAAAAGCGTAGAAAAATCCATGGCTGTGGACCTTAAAGCAACACATGCAGATTTGTCCTGGAAAATGGATCCATACAGTATTGACAACGAGAGAAGGGACAAGAGGGAAAAGAAGGGCAAGAACTGTTGCCTATTTCTGCATTAGTCGGCAATAGCTAGCATGTGCAGTGCTGCTGTTTTTTCCCCCCATGGCGGTGGGAGAGATCGATCACCTGAGTTAACATTTGCGTGGACCCATTTTTCACATGATTTGTTGCAACAACTGTTCGGTTTGATTTGTCGCCTGCAACAAGAACTTTAACCAGCATATGAATTCAGCTCATGTGTGCGCCAATCTGATTGTCTAGAAAAATGAGGAAAGAATCAATCGAGACATTATGAGATGAGGGATTGAGATGGGGGTGGAGGGGTGAAGTGGATATTGGTAGAGGTGTGCAACGGTCAGATCTTGGTCTGAACCGGATCAAATTCAAGAAACTCGCAATCAAATAGTGAAAGATATGCAGGACTAAGGACCGGACTGCATGATCGAATTGGTCCGATCCAAACATTGGTTTGATCCAATGTGGTTTGATCCAATTGCCGAAACAGAGATACGACGCAGAAGCAAAAGCAAGAAACAAGCTGTAACACACTGCAACGCTTAAAACAGAGACACAACAACCAGCAGCACTTGAAAGTTGAACCTCCACATTTCCCCGTTATATTCATTCCATTATTCGCTTTCTAAATTACTCATAAGTCAAACGAGGCCTAACAAAGAAACAGAACAGAACAGGACAATGCATGAACTTGGTCAAGGACTTGAACCCATGAAACACCAAAAAGTCAAGTCAAGTGGCGGCCAGACTAGGCCAAGCCATTGTGACTAGTTCCATCGCCCAACCACTCAAGTTTATTTATGTATCATCGCAATTGGCACATAGCTACAAAAGCACAATCACAAAAAGATCCAAACTTTATGAGCTTTTGCATGTTACAGCGAAGCATCAACAGCAGAAGCAAAAGAGAGAGAGCATATAGCTCAGTTCATATACTCTTTTCAGCTCTAGTTTGTTAGTTCAGTTCATATAGACTAAACTACACAAGAGAGAGCACATAGTTAACATACCTTAAAGAAGCCTAAAACCTGACTGAGAGGAACCTCAAATCATACTACTTTACTACCTCTAAAGACCTAATTCAGATTCAATAGCACAGCATGTCCATAAGCTAATCTGTCTCAACCCTCTGCAGCATCAACTTCCTCGAATGGAGCTACTGGATACACGCTGTCAACAAAGCCATAAACTTCACAGGCAAACTCGGGCACAGAGAAGACCGGAATGTTCCACTTAACCCTGCCATTTCCATCAAACGAGCTGATATGCACATATTGCCCTTCTTCCCGCTTCATTATCAGCTCAGAATCATTCAGAATCCCCACAGGAATCCCAATGCCTATAAAATCTGGCCTCAAACTAGTAATCTTAGTCCAGCGAATACCGTCGTCCAGCGTCCAGAGATCGATGAACTTGTAGGGTGATGGTTTGAAAGACTGGGCAGGGTAAGCCGCCAATCCAATCATACCCTTAAACCCCATAACTTGCACACACGTTGGAAACTCACTGCCATAATCAGGAGTTGGAACTCTGCTGAACTCTTCAGTACCCAAATCAAGTGAGACAATGTACTTGTTCATGGAAGGTTTCTCAATTTCAACGCCCACCCAGTGCAATGCCCCATTAGCAGCCACAGCCTTCTGACCCTCAGTGATGGAGCACGATTGCAGGGCCGCCTGGGTCGCATCTGCGTCAATCAAACTCCACCTACCCAATCCCCACGAAAAGACTTCCGCCCTCACAAGGGGCAACTCCTCCATCCTCCGCTTGAAATACACGATTCTCACCAGCTTGATGTCGCTGTTGTCGCAATTCGACCCGAAACCGACTGCCACCATCCAAAAGGGCGGGCGCTCGACGAAAATCCTTGACCTAGGAACGCTCCCCACTTTCCTAGTGGCGATGTTCCAAAGAAGAAACGCCGAGGCGTGGCGCATGGAGATGTCGAGACAGACGAGGCCGCAGCAGGAGCCCACAATTTTGGGGAAGCGACTGAGGCTGTCCATGAACGGGATGGGAATATCGCCCATCGCGGCGGCCCGGCCGTCGATCAGGGAGAAGTGGAAACCGCCGACGGTTGGGTCCGCGAGGCGGCGGATCAGGAACGACGAGCCGGTGGGGGAGTGGCGGCGGAGGTGGGCGGAGACAAAGTCAGGGGATTTGATTAGGGCGGCGAAGGGTTTGGAGACGGCTTCGAATCGGGCTACGGACTTGATTGGAAGCCTGGAGAGGATATCTGAGACGATTTTGAGAGGGAGAGGGTACCCGGTGCTGATTCTGCTGCCGCCATTTCCCCCGCCGCCGTCGCTCATCGTCAATGATTCCTTCCGTGGTCGCTTGCTGTCCATAGTGAGGAATCGCCGGCACGGTTTTGTGCAATTTGTAGGGGAAGAAGGGGAAGGAAACGAATGAACGTACAGAATACGATTCGCCTCCTTTTTTGGGGGCGCGGTTTTTGTTAGGGTTTAGAAATTCTTTAAATGCTGAATTTATGACGTCAATTTATCGTTGGAAATAGGAGACGGGACCGGATATTACTGGACTGGATTGCGCGGGAAGTCGCTGAGTACGTGGGCCTGCCCAATTGGGGTTCTTGGTGGACTTGTGGGCCTTAATAGTTAATCCATCCATAAGTAGTTGGCAGGGGAAAGCCTACCAATATGGCGGGATTATTTATGGGAAGATTAATTTTCGTGGTAGATGCTCTATATTGAGAATTGTGAGCTAAGTAGCTAACTGAAGTAGAATCCTTGCGGCAACTGACATTCTTTCAGATTAGCTTTGTTATTTCAGTTAAAAACCTAAAAATGTCAGACAAGCAACCGCCGTGACCATGTTCATAACTAATGCTTCTCAAGTTCACGTTTGGGTTTCTGTGAGTTCTCGACCATGACCATCAAACTCACAGCCGTGATCTTTAATTTTGGAAGTCGTGATCTAATCTGGGTACACCATTTTCCACCCTTCAATACGATCTCTAAATGTTAAGAAATTTGGTACAAATCTTTTCTTAACACGATAGAATTCTGAAAACAGTAGACAAAACATAGCGTCGTATAGAATATGATGACAAATGATCTAGTTACGAGCAAAATTGTCCAAATCGGGATAAGTTGTGTTAAGTTCTGGAGTATCACAATATAAACATAATAAATCGTATATTATATAATCTGTTCATAATATCTGTTCTAACCTCTCAATCCGCTCACAGATCGTATATAATATGATTTGCACCAAACCACACCCTAGTATTAAACCTAATAAAAGTCGAGAGTTACACTTAAAATTAGAACAAAGGGTGGCTGGGTGGGTCCACCACCAACGTCACTGGACCATCAACATGGTTTTACTGGTATTTTTGGGGTAAATTGCAAGTTTGGTCACTGGAATTGTTAAAAGCGTTCATGTTTAGTCACTAGAAATATTTAATTTCGTTCGTCATCACTAGGATTAGTAAAACAGTCCAAATTTGGTCACTCTCCGTTACCTTCCGTCAGTCTCCGTTGACACCGTCAGTTTTTTGATGACGTGGCTAACAGAATTGCCTAGTCAGTCAGATTTTATTCGAAAAAAATAAAACCAACCCGCCACATCACTTAAACCTGCAATGTCTGTTTTCCCAACCCGTAACCCAACACTCCCCAACCCGAAACCCAACCCTCCCCATCCCGTGACCAAACATCGTCAAATTCCACCAGCCGTCGGCTGATTCCTCGCCGTCGACAGCCACTCCAATATCGTTTGCCTTTGAACTCTCCAATGTCTCTGCCAATTCTCCAAAACTAAACTCAAACATAACAAAACATAACTGATTTGAATCTGGAAACTCCTCCGCAGACAGTGATGAAACTTTCCAATAGCTTCGCCAAATTTGCCACCTCGCCGAACCCGTTGCGTCGTCAATACTGTTGGCCCGGCTACATGTGATGGAGCAAGAGCCAGCAATTTGGTAATTATAAAAAAAAATCAACAAATATCAAAGCACCCAAAAATGCAGTTGGGGAGGTGAATTAGCAGATGGGAATTCAATTCCCTTCCCCTCTTCCCTGGCTATAAAATGCAGAGGCATTTGCCTCATTTCAATCATCCCTTACCATTCCATCCTTCTCCATTTCCTTTGCTCTACTTCTGTTCGTATTTCTTTTGTGGGTTTTGGTAGTGAAATGTTTTCACTACCACAGGTAGATAGGAGATTTCTTTGTGAGTGAAATAGTGAGGTTGTTTGGGAAACACCGTGTGTTCTATTTCTTGTATCGAGAAAATCTCTGTAACCTACCATTGTTATAGTAAAGAAATACTCCGGAGCTGTTGTTCCCGTGGACTGGCCCAAAATCAGGGTATACCACGTAAATCCTTGGTGTCATTTATTATTATCTATGCTTGTTGTTATTTTGAGAATAGTCGTAGTATATTGCATTATTAAATTACCGAAGTAAATTGATCTAATTAAGTTGGTTACCGTAATTATGGAGGCTCTGCCACCAGGTCCAACTTATTTGTGAACTTTTTACAAGCGTGTGATTTCTTAGTGCAATATATTTACCCGCTATTCTCACCCGCTGTGCCCAACAAGTGGTATCAGAGCCACGTCCAAATGGAGGCAAAAACAAGCAAGATGATAAGTCTGAATGGCTCCAACTATCACATATGGAGAAACAAGATGAAGGATCTCCTACTCGTGACGGAGTTGCATTTGCCGGTGTTTAGCCCAACTAAACCTGATGGCAAAACTGAAGAGGAATGGGAGTTCAAGCATGAGCAAGTATGTGGCTACATTCGACAATTCGTCGACGATAATGTATACAACCACATTAGCAGAGAAACTCATGCCAGAACTCTGTGGAACAAGCTGGAGGCACTCTATGCATCAAAGACCGGCAACAACAAATTATTTTATCTGACCAAGTTGGTCCAGATGAAATACAAGGAAGGCAAATCCTTGGCGGATCACTTGAACGAAATTCAAGGGATCGTGGATCAGTTGTCCGGTATGGGCATAAAGATGGAAGATGAGGTGGTCGCTCTCCTCGTTCTGGCTTCCCTTCCAGAATCTTGGGAGACGCTAAAAATTTCACTTACCAACTCTGCGAAAGATGGAGTTATCAACATGGAGATCGTCAAAAGTGGGGTTCTGAATGAAGAGATGCGGAAAAGATCACAAGGTGCATCCTCATCATCTTCCCAGTCAGACCTTTTGGTGGTGGATTCCAGAAGCAGAGGAAGAAGTGAAGCGAGAGGCTCAAAGCAAAGAGGCAAGAGTTGAGGGAAGTCCAACAAGTTTGCCAACATCAATTGTCATCACTGCAAGGAAAAGGGCCACATCAGAAGATTTTGCCCAAAGTTCAGAAACGAGAGAAGGAAGGGCAAATGAGATGAGAACAGTGATGATGATGGTGCAAACTCTGTTGATGAGTTCAATATTGTCTACGAGGAAGATGTTTTCAACCTAACAACCCAGGAGACAAGCTGGGTGGTTGATAGTGGTGCTACCATTCACGTGACGTCCAAGAGAGAATTTTTCTCATCTTACACACAAGGTGACTTTGGTGTGGTAAGAATGGGAAATGGCAACCTTTCCAAAGTTATTGGAAAAGGAGAAGTGTGCTTGGAGACGATGAATGGTACGAAGCTACTGCTGAAGGATGTCAGGCATGTTCCAGAAATGCGCCTGAATCTCATCTCTGTAGACAAGTTGGATGAGGAAGGTTACTGCAACACCTTCCACAATGGCCAGTGGAAACTCACCAGAGGCTCCTTGGTGTTGGCCAAGGGCAAGAAGCTGTCAAAGCTGTATGTGACGGAAGCCAAGATCTCCCCAAAGATTGTCAACTCAGCGGAGAATGGTGACACAATTGAATTGTGGCACAAACGGCTCGGTCACATGAGTGAGAAGTCCATGGCGAAGTTGGACCAGAATAAAGTCATAGTTGGGTTGGATCATGTTCATTTAAAGAAGTGTGTTGATTGCCTGGCGGGAAAGCAAAACAAAGTTGCTTTCAAAAGTTCCATCCCTTCAAGAGCGAAAAACGTGTTGGATCTAGTTCACTCAGATCTTCGTGAACCCGATGTCAATGTCAAATCACTTGGAGGTGCCAGATATTTCGTGACATTCATTGATGATCATTCACGGAAGACTTGGGTGTATACCTTGAAGACCAAGGATCAAGCCCTAGACGTTTTCAAGCAATTCCTGGCCCTGGTAGAGAGGGAAACTGGCAAGAAGCAGAAGTGCATTCGGACTGACAATGGTGGAGAGTACAGAGGTCCGTTTGCTACCTTCTGCAAGGAACATGGAATTCGGCAGCAATTCACACCACCAAAGACGCCGCAATTGAATGGGCTAGCTGAGAGGATGAACATGACCCTGCTAGAGAGAGTCAGGTGCTTGTTATCACACTCGAAGCTACCACAATCTTTCTGGGGGGATGCACTGCTTGCAGCAGTTTATGTGTGGAACAGGTCACCCAGTGTGCCACTGAAGTATGACGCCTCAGAGAAGGTGTGGACAGGAAAAGAAGTTTCCTACAAACATTTGCGGGTGTTTGGTTGCAAGGCCTTTGTCCATATTCCAAACGATGAAAGGTCAAAGTTGGATTCAAAGACGCGACCGTGCGTATTCATTGGCTATGGTCAAAATGAGTTTGGCTATAGATTCTTTTATCCAATCCAGAAGAATCTTATCAGAAGCCGTGATGATGTGTTCATCGAGAATGAGACCATCGAAGATGTTGTTGCTAGGAAAGAAATTCCTAGTACTGATGCTAGTCAGCCAAACCTTGAGCTAGTGCCTCCAACACCAGCGCCTACAGAAGTTGGAGAAGAAGCACAACATGATCAGCCTGAGATAGTTGAACCATATGCCCATGTGGAGGTTCAACCAGAAGATGCGGATGACGATGGTTAACCACCAGCCATAGAAGGTTCTCCTGTTCGAACAACAAGATCTGGTAGAATTTCACGACAGTCTACCAGATATCCCGAGACTGAATACGTCTCACTTACTGACGGCGGAGAACCAGAAAGCTTCACAGAAGCTATGAATGATGAACACAAGCAAAGGTGGATAGAAGCCATGCAAGACGAGATGAATTCCTTGTATGAGAACAACACATTTGAGCTGGTGAAGTTGCCAAAAGGCAAGAGAGCTTTGAAGAACAAGTGGGTGTTCAAGATCAAACATGATGAACACAACCGTCAGCCACGCTTCAAAGCCAGACTAGTTGTGAAAGGCTTCAGTCAAAGGAAAGGCATTGACGAGATATTTTCACCTGTGGTGAAAATGACATCCATTCGTACTGTGCTGGGACTAGCAGCAAGTCTTAACCTGGAGGTTGAGCAAATGGATGTGAAGATTGCCTTCCTTCATGGTGATTTGGAGGAAGATATTTACATGGAGCAACCAGAAGGCTTCAAGAAGAAGAACAAGGAGGGATATGTGTGCAGGCTCAGAAAGAGCTTGTATGGCTTAAAGCAGGCACCAAGGCAATGGTGCAAGAAGTTTGAGTCTGTTATGGGGGAGCAAGGCTACAAGAAGACTACTTCAGACCACTGCGTGTTCGTGAAGAAATTTCCTAATGGAGATTTCATCATACTTTTGCTCTATGTGGATGATATGCTAATTGCTGGGCAGAACGTCTCAAAGATCAATGATTTGAAGAAGGAGTTGAGCAAGTCTTTTGACATGAAAGACTTGGGACCAGCAAAGCAGATTCTTGGCGTGAGGATCATTCGGGATCGAGGTGCCAAGAAGATATGGTTGTCACAAGAAAAGTACATTGAGAAAGTACTTCAACGTTTCAACATGGATAATGCGAAGGCGGTTAGCTGTCCTCTTGCTGACCACTTTACATTGACATCCAAACAGAGCCCGTCTACTGAGAAGCAAATGGCGGAGATGGATAAAATTCCATATGCTTCAGCAGTGGGAAGTTTGATGTACGCCATGGTGTGTACAAGGCCAGATATTGCTCATGCAGTTGGAGTTGTCAGTCGGTTTCTTTCCAAACCGGGAAAGGAACATTGGGAAGCTGTGAAGTGGATCCTCAGATACCTTCGAGGTAGCTCCAAAATGAGTCTATGTTTTGGAGATGGTGAACCTGTCCTTGTTGGCTATACAGATGCTGACATGGCAGGTGATGTTGATTCGAGGAGGTCCACTTCTGGATACCTGATTACCTTATCAGGGGGAGCAATATCGTGGCAGTCAAGGCTACAAAAGTGTGTATCTCTTTCCACAACAGAAGCTGAGTATATAGCAGTAACGGAAGCATGCAAGGAGATGATATGGATGAAGAAGTTCATGAATGAACTTGGGTTCCTACAGGAACAACCGCAGCTGTTCTGTGACAGTCAAAGTGCTATTCATCTTGCGAAGAATGCATCATTTCATGCTCGATCAAAACATATTGATGTTCGATATCACTGGATACGAGATGTGCTTGAAATGAAGCAGTTACAACTAGAGAAGATCCATACTGACGAAAATGGATCTGACATGTGTACCAAGACTCTTCCAAGAGAAAAGTTTGAGTTCTGTCGATCAGCTGCAGAGATGATGAAGTCGCCCATGTAGTCAGGCGGGGGAGAATTGTTGGCCCGGCTACATGTGGTGGAGCAAGAGCCAGCAATTTGGTAATTATAAAAAAAAAATCAACAAATATTAAAGCACCCAAAAATGCAGTTGGGGAGGTGAGTTAGCAGATGGGAATTCAATTCCCTTCCCCTCTTCCCTGGCTATAAAATGCAGAGGCATTTGCCTCATTTCAATCATCCCTTACCATTCCATCCTTCTCCATTTCCTTTGCTCTGCTTCTGTTCGTATTTCTTTTGTGGGTTTTGGTAGTGAAATGTTTTCACTACCACGGGTAGATAGGAGATTTCTTTGTGAGTGAAATAGTGAGGTTGTTTGGGAAACACCGTGTGTTCTATTTCTTGTATCGAGAAAATCTCTGTAACCTACCATTGTTATAGTAAAGAAATACTCCGGAGCTGTTGTTCCCGTGGACTGGCCCAAAATCAGGGTATACCACGTAAATCCTCGGTGTCATTTATTATTATCTATGCTTGTTGTTATTTTGAGAATAGTCGTAGTATATTGCATTATTAAATTACCGAAGTAAATTGATCTAAGTAAGTTGGTTACCATAATTCTGGAGGCTCTGCCACCAGGTCCAACTTATTTGTGAACTTTTACAAGCGTGTGATTTCTTAGTGCAATATATTTACCCGCTATTCTCACCCGCTGCGCCCAACAAATACCACAGTCCACGAGGCTGCCAATGGAGCCAAGCTCCTCGAAACTGTTCGCGCCGCCATTGTGCTCGATGTTTATGTTCTCTCTGGGGAAGAGGACGCAAGATTCACCTACTCCGAGAGTTTGCGCCGCCACCGAACTCGACCGTTCGTTCATATATGAATTTCAATCCGTAAGGAAGCAGCGCACCGGCGAACTTTGATTCGGTGTTGAGGGCCGATCCGGCGGCGCCACTCGCTAACAAAGAGCGATCCACCAACAAAGGGAGTGGAGCCTCAGATTCCTAGATCCGGCACAGATCTGGAAGGTAGGTAACCGAGTCAGGGGTGACTCAGTAACAAACGCAGAGAGAATCGTCTCTCTTATCTCATTCCTTTCTCAAATACACCGAGGTCGGAAAAATTAAAATGAGGTTTGGGTAGCTGACGCGAAGGGGAACTCGGGGAATTCCGGGCCTGGTTTCGAGGGAGAAGGTCCAGCAATGGCGGTGGATATCAGATACGGAGAGGGAGAAGGTTGGGTTCTTGACGCGAAGGGCAACTCGTGGAATGTCGAGGATGGTTTTGAGGGAGAAGGTCCAGCAATGGCGGCGGGTTTCGAGGGAGGAGGTCCACTAATGGCGGTGGATATCATACACAGAGAGGGAGAAGGTTGGTTTCTTGTCGCAAAGGGGAACTCTAGGAGAGGACGGGTCAAGAAATGGGGTCGGGTCAGGGGTTTGGTTGGGCCAAGTAATGGGTTTAACGTGGAGGTTATTTTGATGTGGCGGGTAGGTTTTTTTATTTTTTTAGGGTTAAAATTAGGTTACTCAACTTTCTGTTAGCCACGTCAGCAAAACAGTGACGGTGTTAACGGAGACTGACGGAAGGTAACGGAGAGTGACCAAATTTGGACTGTTTTACTAATTGTAGTGATTAAAAACGGAATTAAATATTTCTAGTGACTAAACATGAACGTTTTTAACAATTTCAGTGACGAAACTTGCAATTTACCCGGTATTTTTGGTAGGAAAGTTTTTTTTTTCTTCTTTCAAACCCATGAACGTAGGATGCTTTTTGGACTTGCTTGGCCGGAGCTGAAGATCTCTTCTGCTTCCCAAACAAACTGTACCACCTCCAGCTTGCGATCCATTCAAAGTTTGAATGCCCTTTCTCGGACACTAAGGAAACCTGGAAGCAGAGGACAAACGAAACAGAGACCAGATTACAACATATATAAACATCCCAATCCATCCAGCAATCACATTTCATAATAACACAGAGCAGAAACAGTGGAACAAAATGCTTCCTTGTCATCCGCAGTCAGATCAACACCCAAATCCAGAGCATGCTCTGTTTCCTTCGGCCTCGATCGATCTGTTGAGAGAAAAAACACGCCACATGAACACCCCTGTCACAACCCACGATCCAGAACCCGAAACAGAGGAAGAAATGTCAATGGCGGACATAATCAGAATCGCAGCAGCTAGGTTCATCGATTCTTCCTCCACAGAGCCTGCCGACCCACCAGCATCTGCAAACTCAGACGATGAAAACGACGACGTGGAGCTCGTGCTCCACCTCCTGCGCGCCGCCGATGAATTGGACCACAAGCAGTACGAGCAAGCGGCTCACTCCCTCGACCTCTGCGAATTACTGTCCTCCGAGGCAGGGGATCTCACCCAGAGAGTCACTCACTACTTCGTCCAAGCGCTTCGCGAGAAGATTCGCAACGAAACAGCAGCAGCAGCAGCAACCCAGCAGCCGAAACCCGATCTCATCGACGAATTGAAACGATTAAACCTCGAAGAGGCGGTCACCGCCACATGCCCATTAGTCGGAGTCATGTACGAGAAAATCCCCTTCTTCCAAATCGGCCAGCTCGCCGGTGTCCAGGCGATCGTCGAAACCGTGGAGGAATCGAAAAGGGTTCACATAATCGATTTCAGAATCAGAAACGGGATACAATGGACGGCCCTGATGCAGGCTCTGTCCCCTTCCTCGGGGAGACGGCGTGTCACTCTGGAGATTCTGAAAATCACGGCCATCGTCACGGTTTCGGAAAATTTGGTCCGCGAAACAGGGGAAAGGCTAGCGAAGTTCGCCGAATCGATGAATATACCCTTCTCGTTTAACTCCATCGTGGTGTCGAGCTTGATCGAAATTGACGAGACGAAATTCGACCTCGATCCCAACGAAACCGTGGCTGTTTTCAGCGAGTACGCATTGCAGAGTCTGATTCCCGACCCGAATCAGCTGGATGCGTTGATGACGGTCGTGAAGAACATCCAGCCGGGGATAATGGTGGTGATCGAAACAGAGTGTAATCTCAATTCGTCGAATTTCGGTCGGCGGTTCGTGGAAGTTCTGTTCCACTATGGCGCCTACTTCGATTGCGTGGATGCTTGTCTGGAAGGGGGAGATGGTGGCGGGGAAAGGGGTTTGATGGAGTCGATGTTCTTGAGCCGGATTGTGACGGGGCTCTTGGTGAAGGAGGGAAAATACATGGCGAAGTTTGTGACGGTGGATGTTTGGAGGAAGTTTCTGAGTCGGTTTTCGATGTGGGAGGTCCGGTTGAGCTCGTCGGCGATGTACGTTGTGAATCTGTTGCTGGAGAGGTTTGTGGGAGGGAAGTTTTGTACGTTGGACAGGGATGGAGAAAGCTTGGTTGTTGGGTGGAAAGGGACGCCAATGTTCTCGCTTGCTACTTGGAAGTTCCTCCAGTTCAAAACCACTGAACCTAACCCAGAAGAAGAAGAGAAAGAAGACGACTCGGAATCCATTATATCATAACTGAGTTTTGCCTCCATTTCCATTTTATAAGTAAGGACCAAAGAATGTAATGCTTGCTTGTGCTACTATTCACTCTGAATCCGATGGTTAGAGAACAGCTAAAAGAACTGCAGTCAAGTATGTTGTAACGGATTGGAAAATGGATAATGTAAGAAAGTAAAAAACAATGCGCGGATGGTGAAGGTGCGGAGAGGTTTTTTGATGGAGTTGATATTCTTGAACGAACATGTGAGGGAGATTTTGTTGAAGGACCGGGAGGAAAGGGCGAGGTATGTGAAGGAAGTTCTTTAGCTGGTTCTGGATGTGCGAGATGTGGCCGAGTTCATCAGTAATACATACTCTGTTAGTAAACGGTTTATTATCAATAATTGGACATCTTTCAAGTTTCAACCATTAGAGTTACTAGTTTTTAGGCCCGCGCTTCGCAGCGGTAAGAAACTAATTTTATTTAAAATTCTATTAACTCATTTAATAATTTAGTTGAAATAAAAAATTATAAAATAGTTCAGATAAGAATTAAGATACATCCATAACTTTCACGGTCTATCTTAATCATTATTGTTTAATTGATACATAAAAAATAAATAAATATACATAAATTTTACGTAATGTACTTGTAATTTACGTAACTGTGATAAAATGGTGTTACGCAAATCTTATGTAACGCGTAACATAATAATAAAATTACCAAATTATCATATTTAATTAACCTATTATGTAAAATTTAGATAACTATTATGGAACGAATTACATAAATCTTTCATAAGGGATGGTCTAATAATAAATAAATAAAAGTATCACATTTGTTTAAAGTTCAAACTACTATGGAAAAGTTATCTTATCTTACAAAACTTTATCATAATGCAACTTGATGAGGTGGTGAATATTGTAGTTAATAATAAAGTAACTAAGTTATGAGAATATCATATTTGGTTAAGTTGTTATGCAAAAAATATGAGATGGTGAATATTGTAATTAATAATCAATGAATTAAAGCCCAAATGTTTACCGTTCCTCACGATTTTATCGTTGGGACTTATAATATGAAAGACTTAGGCAATATATGTTTAACATATGCATAAGAAATAATTAGGCTTAATTGCAAGTTTGGTCACTCGAATTGCTACAAAATTTCACGTTTGCCACTCAAATTAATTTATTCCATTTATAGTCACTTAAATTAGGTTAACAGTCCAAGTTTGGTCACTGGCCGTTAGTCTCCGTTAACTTTTGCTGATGTGGCGGTCAACTCTTATAGTTGACCGTTAAATGAGTGACGTGGCAATTAAAAAATAAAAAAAATTAATAAATATTTTTTTTAATAATTTCCACCTCAATATTACAATAATTAAAACAAAAAAATTGTGGAAGGAAAAAGAAAACCATTGGCTACCTACATCGGCGGCCATTGTTGGGCATCTTCTGGGAAAATCAAACCCACCGCCGGCCACAGTTTTACGGTAACTCAACCCTAGACTTTTACGACAGCAACAACAATAGCAAGTGACAGCAGAACTCCATTTCTTGCCACCGGCGGCGGGCTTCATCATATGGAGAACTCCGTCTTCAGGCCCAGATCCAATGAAACACAACGACATACGAAACCAAACAAAAAGCAAAACAAGAAGCTAGAAGATGCATATCTCATCACCTGATCTCTTGTATTCTTCCACTGTGCAAAAGGGCGGCCTTCCGATCCCCTGAGTAGCTTTGGGCCCATATATATGCTTCTTCTTATTACGACTACCTAGCTAGCTAGCTCGAGATGGAGATGGAATTTGCTCCCTTTAATCTGCAAAGTCGTAGCGGAAGCAGAGAATTGCGAGTGATTAATATCTCTGTCTTTCTGATTTAATAATATCTATCATCAACTTGTCTGATTGCAGAAAAAGAAGCACTCCTCCCTCTATATAAAGCCCTCTCCTTTTCCCATTCTTCACTCCAAACTAAAACCCACAGCTTCAGACAGAGATAGAACGAGAGAGATGCAGAGCTTGAGAGGAGAAGTGGAGCTGAACATGGGAGCTCAGAGAGCATGAGAGATGTACAGAGACAACGACGT